TATATATTTATATATATATATACATCGCTTTATTACTTATTTAAATTCTTATACTAAAATCATGATTATTTGATTAAATAGAAGAACAAACGAATCAGCAAAAAGCCAACGCGAGGGAAAGAAAACCTTCTGGAAAGAAGACGCGATGGGGTTCGGACGAGGACAGAGTTCCTTACGAGCAGATTATGCTACTGCAGTCGGCAAATGAGCTTGGTCTTCAACTTCCAAACGCTGCGTTAGGTTTAGCCACGCAGCAACAGGCACAAAAACAGGCGCAAATTACACCGCCTGTAGATTTCTACAGCGAAAGAACTGAATCAAGTAAAACTGAAACAAGAGAAAATCTTGCAAAGAATGTAGACAAAGAAGAAGACATAGATGAGGTATAATATTGTGCGAATTCATATTTTAATTAATTATGATTACAGAGTTTATATTATAACTAAATTTGAATTTAAAAAATGAACAACACAATTATCATTATGAAACTTTACTTCTATTAGCAGACGAGAAAGCGAAGAGATGTTGACTTGAGGCAGTTATTGAACGCAAAGAAACCACCATCCGTCTATAGTATAGCTGATAAAGTAGCGAGTCTCACGAGAAATAAACACGATGACGAGAGCGATCAAGATGAGGAATCGGAACTCGTTATCGAAATGCCAATTGAAGATGAGGATAAGGAAAGAGGAAAGTTTCTTGAGCAAGGTAAGAACTGCTTATCTTACCGTGATTTTCTTTCTTTAACTGTATTTAATATGTTAGAAAATTTAATAAGGTTTAGTTACTTAGCCTGTTACACTTATACTTATTTTTTCATTGATTGATATTTTATATATTGCTTTCAATCTCTTTATAATTAAAATAATTCATCTAAAATATTGTGCATTAAATAATGGAAAAAAATATACAATTATATCTGCATTTAACAGGTGAACAATATCAGGATACTTCATCTATAGACGAACATGAGACAGTGCCGCCTCACTTACCAAAGAAGGCGCAGGAATTGTTTATGCGAATACAGCAGCAGCAACGCGCGGCTCAGGACAGTTTGAAAAACATAGACAACGAGTCCGATGCACCTAATACTGATCAGATTATCGAAGATTGGTATTCGGATGACGAGGACGATGATGATGATGATGACGAGGGAGGTAATCTTACTATAGTGGATAGTTCGAAAGACGAAATCGAGCCCATCGAGAAGACTCAAAACCTCGTTATCAAGGAGGAGTTCCAGCCTGCGACATCCGTGTCCAACGTACCCCAGCCGGCCGCTATTGTGGACAAATTAGGTGACCTGAGCAAAATTGATATCAGTGCCGAAGTATCCAAATTGCTTTCCACTCTGAAGGCTCAGAGCTCCACGACTAACAAGACACAAGCAAACTCGAATCAAGACGCGTCGAAAGCTAAATCGGCGCAAGATCCGAAGACGGATAGCGAGACGTCGTCGAGTCCGAGGCGATCACCAGGTCCGAGTTCGGCAACTGTATCTGTATCCAGAGATCCACGAATGTCCCGGGATCCTAGACAACGTCGGGAAGTCGAGCAGAAGCCGAGCAGCCCTAGCATATCTTCCGATGTGAAGAGGGAGTTGCAGAAACCTCTCAGGCTGGAAACGAGCATCTACAGTTCCGGCATCACCGCGGTAGACGCTAACATGGACACCGATCTGCGCTCTACGAGAGCGGATCAAGATCTCAGACGGCAAGACATGGACTTCCGACAGCGTTTCCAATCCGGTGACTTCGGCGACACGGATTTGCGTGTCAAATCCGACGTCGATCTTCGACAGATGCTGACCTTACCGTTCAAACCGGTACCCGCGCATATACCATGCACCGAGATCGATGGAAGTATCGCGTCGCATCCGCCGATGGTGTATAAAGTCTACGTGGTCGACATACCCAGACCGGATTACACCGGTCTCAAGTTAACGAAGAATGATGCGCAGGTCAAATACGATCCACGCCTCCGCAAGATCTTCCGCATCGCCAAGCCTGAGCAACTGGCCGACTCGCCGATGTCGCCGCCGCCGCCGCAAATGAAGCATGAGACACCGAAATCGCCGCCGCAATGTGTTCGTTCAGATCCGCGACGGAAAACTCTCGAGGCGGCGGCTTCCAATCAACAGTCGTCCTCGCAGAATACAACCAATGCTCCGATGATGTCCAAAGGGATGCAACCGATGGATCCAATGGGACCTAATATGGGTCTTGGTTCTACTGGCATGCCGGTGAGACCTGGTATGCCTGGCGGTCCGCTGCCCGGCGCCATACCGGGTCCCCCTCAGGGTATGATGGGCCCAATGGGTCCAAACCATCCGATGGGCATGGGTAACATGGGTCCGATGAGGCCTATGATGAACGCTGGACCGATGCCGCCGCAGAATATGCCGCCCATGGGCATACCACACGGTCCGGCGATGGGTATGAATGGTCCCGTTCCGATACCGCCTCAGGGTCAGATGAATTTCGATCCGCGTTTCAACGCGCAACGTAACAATGGGGCCGGACTGTTAGGTCCTGGACCTAACTTTGGTCCGGACAATTACGAAGGGGGCCCACCTTATCCCTGTGGTGGTAATTTTAATAATTTCGGAGGACCCGGTGGTGGTGGCGGCGATCCGTTTGGTCCGAACGGATCAAATGGGCCCAACTTTGGCCCGATGGGGGGTGACGATTGGGGCAGCAGACAGCGTGGCGGCCGTATCCGCCGAAGAAATCGCAGCAGGACCAATATGGTGACCAATAATTAAGTAGTGCATTGGGGAAAATAAATTGTGAGCGCCTGATGATAATTCTCACGAGCGGTAGAGTCCGCGCGTGCATTTCACGCCTGCACGCAGTACACTCAAAAGCATACTTTGAAGTCTTTCCAATTTATTTTCATGGTATAATATCGAGACACTTTCTTACGTAGAGATCTACAGATTTATTCCTTATAAATCTATAAAAATATCGATGTAAATATTTATAAATATCCTTTACAAAAAATTATTATCTATCTATATATATGTGTATACATTTTTGGTTTATATAAAATTAAATCTGTAGAATTTACTCGCGGAGAGAAAGATTTGATGGTATAATGCTGAACACGTTCGATGATTATGATCAACAGATCGGCAATCTACAAAACTAGGAGTTATGAGCACCAGCTCATTGTACGTAATGCTTAAGTTATACTATATCGCATATAATGCTCATGGTTGCGTGCAATTTTCTTTTGGAATATTCTATGGAAGCTAGCATATTTCAACACTTAGAACGTACCGGATCCATCACTTTAGTTTGTAATTCATCACATAACTCTCAAGGATATTAATTAGGCATGTATTGTAAGTCTATAATGGTAAGAAATATTTATACATAGATAATGACGAATGTGTATCCACTCGTTTACAATAAATAGATTCTATGAAAAGACAATTAGACGTAAGTCTCGCCGAAATAATCAGTCTGAAATAAACAAGCATGTAAAGCTGGGTATACATCTACGAACGAACAGCGAACGCGAACGTTTGGACATTCGCGTTCGTAAGTCGTTCGTTCCTTTTTTATTCGCATTTGCCTTGGCGTATACATCTGCTGAATAATAACGAACGTTCGCGTCCACTGTTCGTTCGCCAAGTGTATACCCAGCTTAAGATGTCGGGCGGATGCTGATAGAGATGATAGAGAAATTATAATTTTGTTGTCTTCCACAAAAATGGCATGCAAATGCCTGAGGTCCGCAAGACACGTTGTTTCCTTTTGCGAATTTGCACCCGCGATTCGTAAATCGACGTACACGATATTTACGTGTCGCGGAGATGTAGGAATGCTAAGGTAAACTGCAATATTTTGTAAAAAAAAAAAGAAGTTTAATGTATACCAATTTTACAACATGATGTAACGAAGTACTTTTCTACGCTTTAAAAAAAAGTACGCGAGTAATAATGTGTAAATTTCAATCTCACTTCAATTGGTTTCATCTTAAGATCATGCAAATCATGTCGAAGTAACATACAGTACTTTGTATTCTCGCATACCTCCAATGAAGAGGTTAATTATATCCTTTACTGATTCTTATTGGTACAGACCCGAGTGTCTGAATTAAAATGACGATTGTCGCTCCGCGACAAAGCAGAAATTTCTAGCTGTACGTATCTCTTTCAAGATGATCTAGGAATAGATGCAGAATATTAAGATTTTCGCTGAAGTAGACCACTCAATGTTAATCTACATACTTCGTTTATTATTATTACTACATTATATAGATATAGAGCGAAATTATATTTGTATAAAGTTTACTATCATATTATATATATATAGATATATATAGCAAGATTTTTGTACAGACGAGAGTTGTTGATTCAAACACAAGTTTTTCGGTTTGTCTCAATGATGTAAATACCGCTGTATTAACTCTGTGCACTTTTTAAAATACAATTATATGATAAACATGTCTATATATGAGGAATGAAAGATTTTTGTACAATATACAACCTCTGTATGGAAAGTTGTATTACTTTTTTCTCTAATGCTCGCAATTGTTTTTATTTCAAATTTGAACAGACAGCCATTCCAATCGCAACTTCAGACATATTCATCAATGTATGATAGAACTTAGGGGGTCAGCTCGTATTGTCGATAGATCCAATCTCGCGTCCATCTCGTCGTCTAACTCTCCTACTATCGCTCTGAAAAGAAAGGCATACCATAAATTAAACTAATGTGTATTTTTTCATGAATACTTATGTGTTAGATATTTATTTCCATATAAGTGAATATTAGTGCAAGGTGAAATTATTTTTCTATATTTTTTTAGTGACGAATACTGATGTAATAATAAAAGGAACAATTATTCATATTACAAATACGATTATTGAAACTACTCTGTGTACAGTTTATCTCAGGAAGCTATACTGACACGTTATCCCCTCTGATGATGTGCAAACCCAAGACAACCTGCTCCACTCCCTGCGTTGTGCTATATACTCGCTCGTGTGATTCATCCAGAATTATATTGATAGTCTGATCGAAACCTTTCAGCGTGCCCTGAAGCAAAAGTTTAGTTCGAAGATGAGCTGAATCGTTACGACGGACATAAAAGATACAGCTTCTGATATTAAAATTGTATTTATTGACAAAATGCAATTATATAGCTTTGAAATGCGAACACTTGTGAGATATTATCAAAGAATTAGTTAAATTTTTTAAATATGAAACGTTTGTAAAAGGTTATTAAAGAATTAAGTATCTAAATTTTTGAAATATTTGCAAAGCATCATCACAGACCTCTAGAATGATATGATAATGTTTTGTAAATATTTCACATTTTAAAAATTGAGCTACATAATTACATTCTTCCAATAAATAAAACTTGAATATCAGAAGCTGTATAAATATTCTCCAAGAATATTGATAATCAGTAATCCTAAGTTACAAAACGTAAACACAGTATCGTACATTACATCCTACTACAATTATATCTTTGAGCAAAGTAAATAAAGCATTCAGAAACCAAAAGTATGGACAGTATTAGTAAATCGGCGATTTTGCGGATTTGCGTACTTACAATAAAATTCCTCCCGTCCGACGTGATAATGGAAACTGTATCTAAGCAATGTTTAGGGTTAATATATTCATCAGAAATGTTGTGTACTTGTCACAACTCGGTTGAACAATAAATTATGCAAAAAGGATACGATTCACGTAACTCTCTAATCCTGACGCCATTATTTATTGTATGTCACACAAAGCTACCTAAGTATCGATAATACGTTAGCGAGTCATCAGCTCCCAATATAGGTTACCGACTTGTGTATCTTCAACGAACGCGTCACCACGCGTCACTAAAAACAAACCGGGTGACCTACCAGCTATTTATACCATGCTGCCATTGCTGCCAGCCAGAATGGCCGCATTCAGGAAACACAACTGTTGAGTGAGCGGTCAGTGATTCTTTAATATGATTGGTTCTTACTTTTGGTCCATCTCCGGATCTAAGTGTAAGAACCAATCATAATGAGCGCTGATTCAACAGTTTCCTGAACGCGGCCAATGATAGCGTGCATGCAGCATGTAAAGGAGATGGTTTTCATGCCGCACACAATTGCGTGCCGCGTATGCATACATACATGTATGTATGATGTATGTACATGCAGGTTCCACTACGCCAGGGGTATGTTGTCCCTTGTGCTATTTTTTTTAGTATTTATTTTGAGAGGAACCGTGGATAAAAAAATCGCGAAATTGTCTTTTAGCATCTAAAAGAATCATTTTACAATTTTTTATCTATTGTTCCTTTCAAGATGGATATCCTCTAGGGCGGTATTCATAGTCGGATCTTATTTCAAGACCGTCTTAAGTAATGTCTTAAGTTGCTAATACGCTAATTTGATTAGCTGGACGGAGTCTTAAGACTGTTTTTAACTAGACTTAAGACCATTGCACGTACCAAAGTTTTAGTCATAATCGTAAGGCCGTAAGGAAATAGACCAATCACAGTCGATTATTCTCCTCGAGCTCGAGAAATAATCGAGTGTGATTGGTCTATTTTCTTACGGCCTTACGATTATGACTAAAACTTTGTTACGTGCAATGGCCTTTAAGATGATCTTAGATGTAAGATCCGACTATGAATACCGCTCCTAGAGCCATACCAGCCATACAGCCTCGGTTGCCTCAGTCTCCCTTAAATTTTAGATCCCAACACGACGGAGGAAGAAAAGAAGAACTTCATACAAAAAGTGCTCTCGATATAACACGGGCATGACTAAATAATGATTTAACTAAATGACCACTAATGACCGTCAGTTGAAAATATGACTTTTATGAACGTGTTCCGTTGTCCGATAAATATCGCTCTCAAAAAACATTAAAGATTTTTTTAAGTGCTTTCCGTGTCTTTATGTGTTATATGTTTTTCGGATCTTATATAAACATACATACATAATACATATATATGCAATATATATATATTTTTTTTCAGGCAGATTTTATCTGACTTCATTTTGCCGCGTATTTTTGCGCGACCGAGTCGCGCGGGTCGCTATTCGCTATCTGTCGCGTTGCGCCGACGCGAGATGTAGCCACCGTGAAAGTTGGCGGCGTTGGCGCGCGCAGGAAGCGGCGCGTGAAGCGCGACGCGTTCGGGTCTCGTTCGGTGGAGTCGGTGCGGTTTTTGAACGCGGTCGTCGACGGTCTATCGGGAGTTTCGTCGAGTCGCCGGGGACGTGGCGATAATCCTTTTAATACGTGCGGATTAAAAACCGCCATCGATCGCGCGGCGCGCTCTCGTTGCGGCTTTTATCGCGGTCGGTCGCGGACGCGTTTACGCGCCGGGCGCACGGACCGCGCTAATTCGCATCCGAATTTGCATCCGTTTCAATGCGGCACGGGATATCGACTCGGCGCCGGGGGCTTTCACCAGCTTTCACCAGCGGCCTCAGGTAAATTGTTTTCTTTTCATTTCGCATTGGTGTTTTGGTGTTTTGGCGTCTGATGTTTGGCGAGCGCGCCGGCTAGCATCTCGGGGACGATCCGATATAATCCGCATTTTCCACTTCGCTCTCCCTCCCCTCTTCCCCTCCCCGTGACCTGCCTGCGATTGGCTTCGTTCCGGAATCGCTGGATCCCGAGGAGTTTCGAGAAAAACTCCCATTACGCATATATTTCGCTTGGATAACCGCAGATCCGCATGCGGAAGCGAAATAAGAAGGAATAGAGATATACGCTAACAAAATACGAATGACAGTCAGAAAAATTTCGCATCCCCGAAATAGTTATTTTATTCGCGCGAACCGAAGCCGCGCTTATATCGGATTGTCGCGATCGAGGATGGCGCGAAAGCGACGAAAGCTCCATTCACAAAATGGCCATCCCCCGCGTTTCGCTCGTCGTGATTTACGACGAGATTTAAGCGCGACTCAATGAGTCGCTGCTGACTATATTGATTCCGCTAATGAAATCGGCGTTTTAAACGGATAACATTGACAGCGTAGTAATTGGATGAATATCGTTATCAACGGAGGTATATGCGTTTACCCGACTGAATTATATCGCGAAAAACACGTCTCGCGCTGGGTTTTATCTCAATCGCAATCGTGTGCCGGTCGACGGATGTCAAATCCACTCTAGGTTCGATAAAATAGCTCTCGACTCTAATCCCCTAATTTTTAATTAATTTAATTATAAAATTTAAAATGAATAAACCCACGTCGAAATATCGACCATCAGACTTATTATTCAGTGTATTATTATCAGTACCTGATATACGAATAAAACCTAAATTTTATTTTTAAAGATAACCGATATAGTGAAATCATCAAATATTTTTTATTATTTTTTTAACGTTTATTTTGAATCTTTACAGGCTGTTCAGGATCATTATATGGACTCAGCATAAAATTTACTCTTCTAATTAAAAAAGAAATTTTATTTTATTCTTAATATTTCTTGATTTTATTTCTATAACGTAACATAGTTTATCTCCAAAATTTGAATTTTTGTAAATAGTAAATCCTCGTAATAAACTGCATTGCAATGGGTCAATTTGAGCCTGAACAGTTTTGCGGTAAAGTTCCAACCAACAGCTTATAAAGGTTAACCCTAGGTATACACAGTGGGGTCTCCGAGACCCTACAGTGTATAATACGTAGGCAAAATAAGATTGTGTATACCTAGGGTTAATATAGCTATTTGAACATGTGGCATAAAAAAGAGAATTATCTTTTTTTTACCATTTGTCATGTAAAATATTTAACGCGTGTTAATTAAATGGACATGTAAGTTCGTAAGTTTTAAAAATACAATGAGAGAAATGATTTCGAAATAGTACTTCGAAGAGCGAAATATAATTGTTTCGCATATTGCGATTTCAGAGAGGCGAGTTACGACAAGTGACGTGTTAGAATGATCGATATCATTGACAAACAAATTTGCTGTTAATAGCTCCAAATAAATTCGAATTTTCCAAAATGGCGTTTTAATAATGCGCACGCTAATTTTTGGTAAAAGCGCTTATGAATAATAAATTCGACAAACTTCGCTCAATAATTCGAAATTTTCGCGGTAAACATTGGCGAGTTTAGTTCGCGCACACTATAAATACGCAATGTAAACAGTAAAGTTTTCTGTGAATTTTCTGCCAAATTAATCCTACTTCGTATGTGTTATACGATTTTTTTTCCACGAAACAGAAACATTTGCGCGAGAATACGGAATACATCACGACGTGATCATTTATGTAGTAATACGTTTTTATGTAGGTTAATTAAAGTACAGAAGTCTACTGTACACACTTTTAATTTGCTCTTATCTTAACAATGGACTTAATTATCTTTTGTTAAAACAGACAATACGAATGTCGCGAGATTTTCTTACCCGGGAAGTATCTCAATCTCGATACAAACGTAGCGTTCCTACGCAATGATTTATTGGCAGATTGGAAAGCAGATCGGAAATTGCGATTGTAGAACTGTCAAAATCTTGCAAATATAAAAATTTATAATATATAGAAATAACGATAAAATTCTACCGAGTGATACATGATGAGTAAAAATCGAGGTAAAAACGTGTTCGAGCAATTTATTAGAAATTTACAAGATTGCGTTGCATTTTAGAAATGGCACTTGTATCAATATTTATTATTCACTTCTGGTAAAATATCAGCGGTAATTGGCATGAATAAACCCTCAATATTGAAAGCATATCGTAGTGCATTTACATATATGCATACGTTCAATATATCGTAATATTACGAATTACAATAAGAATATGATGTAAAAGTTTGCAGATGCATGAGAAATATAATTTTATTATGTATTCGCATCGTTCTGAATTAACTTGAGAACATTAAACTTTGAAAAAAATAGCGCTTTAAGTTTTTCTCGACAGAAACGTGTGCATATATTTATTAATAAATTCGGATACAATTCGATATTTCCGCGACAAGTCGACATCGTTACTCAGTTATGCTACAAGCATAACTTCTTTTTAAGTACAATTAACATAGATGATTACATAAATGCTATAAATTGTCAGATGGAAACAAATGAAAACTAAATTAATGTTGAATTCTGAGCGATAACAGTCGCGAAAGATTTTTTCCTTTTTTCCATAGTGGATGAAATCGATAAAACCTTAATGTTCCTCGGTTCAATTTTCGAAAAGCCTTTTATTTGAATTGCTATTCTATTGAAATATAACAGATTGCACTTTTGCCTCGCTTCTCGGGGAAGTTCGTCGCCGGGAAATGTGGAAGAAAGTTCTCCGACGGGGATACTGTTGATGATAATCTGCGAAAAAATTTCCCGGGGGTTCTTTATTCTTGTCGCGGGATGCGATGATAGAGAGATTGAGTTCGCCCGCTCCGAGACGGTTCTCCGTTCCCCGTGAATCTGTACGTCTTTTACGAAAAGATTCGATCTCTCGTGCGCGCGCGTGCATGCGTGCGTGCATGTATTCGAGTCGTGATTTAGACGGACGAATAAGAGAACGGGCGAAATTTCCTGCCAGTGTTTCTCGAACGAGTTTTCCGACAAACTCGATCGCTGAGAAACAAGAAGACGTGCATTACTATGCACATTACTCGCGAACGCGGATTATTGGGGACACGTTCGAGCGCCCAACGTGATAAGTTCATCGCATTTCTCTCTGTTTATAGTTCTCCGATTGGAACGTCTTTGTTTGAAGTCAATGCGGAAGATACTTTCGCGTAGATTCGAACAAATTCGTGGAAATTATGATATATTGTCTAAAAGTAGTGAAATGAGAATAAGTAAATAAAAATAATCAA